CCACTCATGGAGATGTTTGTGGCTCATGGGTTCTATGCTGCAAAATTCGTAGTGGCCATTGGGTCGGTTGCAGGACTGACAGTCAGCTTGCTGGGCTCCCTCTTCCCCATGCCGAGGGTTATTTATGCCATGGCTGGTGATGGACTCCTTTTCAGGTAAGGGCTACGCTCCGTGAAATTTGTCCTGCTCTGCCACGTCCGTACAGGGAGAATGTCTACACACTGTTAGCCTGACTGTAATTTTGATGTCAGTGCCTTTCACCTGGACTGTGGACCTTGTCATATATCCTGGAGAAAAGTCTGAGTGAACAGAGCTCAGGCCCTGAAACAGCCCCTTAGTTTAACTCTGAGGTCCCTTAATCCAGCACAAGCTGATGTGTGTCCCCCACTTCCCTCCTCCCTCCTGTTGACATTGTATGAAGATTTGTGAAGATGATGAGTGCCAAACTGCTGTACTGAGTGACCCCCAGAAGGAAGAACCCATCCCAGGGACATCTTAGGCCTGCCCTCATATTGAGACCTGGTAACTGCCCCTCTCTCCACAACCCCTCTGAAATTGAAAAAATTCCAACAAAGAGTACATCGGACCCTCTGAACAAATCCTAACAATAGCGGCAACACCAGCTGCCATTCACTGAACATTTGTGTATCCTGGGTGCTGAGTATACAGTATCCCACTTAGTCCTCACAATAACTCTATTTTGCAGACAGAATGTCTACTAGGACTCAGAGTGGTAAAAAAAAAAAAAAAAAAATGCCACAAATCCCTCAGCTACCGAGTGGCAGGTCAGGATTTGATCCCAGAACATCGAACTCCAAAAACCAGACTTTTAACCACACCATTATACTGGCAGTTCTTGCCCCCTACACTGGCCACAAAGTGGCCTATCTGCCCATGGTACAAAAGGGATGCGGCCTCGTCTCTTTGTTTCCAGCCTGAGGGGCCTGCTGAGAAAGCATCCTTCAAGTGCACAAAGCAAGGAGTAAACTTTGGAGGCCAAGGAGCTCTCAGGTGTGCAGAGGGGGCTGGTTCAGGGACTCTGCCTCTGCAGCCATCATCTTCGGACTCATTTCCCCTGCATATCCTCTGAAGCCATCACCAGGTCAGAGCTGATGTGTTTAGGTTGCTGAAGAGATCAAGAAGGGCCTAGGGTGATGGAGGTGTGGCAACTTCACACATCCAAAAGATTTTTCTGCTGTCAAAGAAACTAAGAGGAAAGATACTTAGGCTTTAAGCACATTTCCAGGTTGTGTGAATCATAAAAATATGGGACCAGGAGGACAGAGGAAGGGAAAGGGAGCCTACTGCATGTGCCATTCAGTCGCTTTGTTGTTCCCTTCTTTAGCAGTAACTAGCTGGACTTGAGCCTGTATCTATGAGCACAATTTCTCAATTACTGTGCTATTTTACCAACTAAACCCATGAACTTTCGTTATAGGTGGTGTCTCAAGCTTTGGCATAAATAAGAATCCTCTGGAGGTCTTTTAAAGCAATTTGCTAGGCCTCACCCCCCTATGATTCCAGTATAAAAGGTCTTGGGTGAAACCTGAGAATATACATTTCTTACAAGCTCCATGAGGATGCTAAAATGCTAGTTGACAGGTCAGGAGGGCCCCCAGGCATGACTTCCTCCAACCATCACTTTTTCACGCAGAGCTAGGGCTTCAATCTAGATCGACGAAAGACAGACCTCTTAGGTTCAATCAACCGTTCCCATTACGTAATGATTAGAAACTTTACTAAAGAAGTTTGCCTTGAAATCAAAGAATAAGGCTGGGCGTGGTGGCTCACGCCTATAATCCCAGCACTTTGGGAGGCTGAGGTGGGCCGATCATGAGGTCAGGAGTTTGACACCAGCCTGGCCAGCATGGCAAAACTCCATCTCTACTAAAAATGCAATAATTAGCCAGGCGTGGTGGTGTACCTATAATCCAAGCTACCCAGGAAGCTGAGGCAGGAGAATTGCTTGAACCCGGGAGACAGAGGTTGCAGTGAGCTGAGATTATGCCACTGCACTCCAGCCTGGGCAACAGAGTGAGACTCCATCTCACCAAAACTTAAAAAAAAAAAAAAAAAATCAAAGAATTAAAGTGAATTCTCTTTTCATTATATTCCAAATCCTGGGGTAGGAATAGCAGCTGAATTTAAAGTAGTGAATGCAGAAGTAAATTAGGGGAGCAAGACCAGGAGGAGTTGATCCCACCAGCCTATTGACAGTTTAGCTCCCTGGAATTGGTCACTGTAGCCCACCATTAACCCTCTGCTCACACGGCCCCTCCAGGTTCCTGGCTCATGTCAGCTCCTACACAGAGACGCCGGTGGTAGCCTGCATCGTGTCGGGGTTCCTAGCAGCGCTCCTCGCTCTGTTGGTCAGCTTAAGAGACCTGATAGAAATGATGTCCATCGGCACGCTCCTGGCCTACACCCTGGTCTCTGTCTGTGTCTTGCTCCTTCGATACCAACCCGAGAGTGACATTGACGGTTTTGTCAAGTTCTTGTCTGAGGAGCACACCAAGAAGAAGGAGGGCATTCTGGCTGACTGTGAGAAGGACGCTTGTTCTCCTGTGAGTGAAGGGGATGAGTTTTCTGGCCCAGCCACCAATACATGTGGGGCCAAGAATTTACCATCCTTGGGAGACAATGAGATGCTCATAGGGAAATCAGACAAGTCAACCTACAACGTCAACCATCCCAATTACGGCACCGTGGACATGACCACAGGCATAGAAGCTGATGAATCTGAAAATATTTATCTCATCAAGTTAAAGAAGCTGATCGGGCCTCATTATTACACCATGAGAATCCGGCTGGGCCTTCCAGGCAAAATGGACCGGCCCACAGCAGCGACAGGGCACACGGTGACGATCTGTGTGCTCCTGCTCTTCATCCTCATGTTCATCTTCTGCTCCTTCATCATCTTTGGTTCTGACTACATCTCAGAGCAGAGCTGGTGGGCCATCCTTCTGGTTGTTCTGATGGTGTTGCTGATCAGCACCCTGGTGTTTGTGATCCTGCAGCAGCCAGAGAACCCCAAGAAGCTTCCCTACATGGCCCCTTGCCTCCCCTTTGTGCCTGCCTTTGCCATGCTGGTGAACATCTATCTCATGCTAAAGCTCTCCACCATCACATGGATCCGGTTTGCGGTCTGGTGCTTTGTGGGTAAGCAACTTCCTTTGGAGCCTTGAGAGTTCCCTTTTAAGGTCTTAAGCATGCTTATCCGAAAATTACCTCCTAGCTTGACTAAGCAACTCCATTCCTAGAGAAATCTGGCTGGTTCTATGGACCCTTGTGTTCTGCATGAGAGTCAATAAAGCCAGTTGTTCCCTTTCTGCCCGTAATGGTCTTAGTCATTGGTTCTGGAAAAATGATGTTGATTAACCCCTCACTTTACTGAATTGCTGAAAGTTCTTTCTATATTAGGATAATTAATGCCAGAAAAAGTCCACTTAAAATGAATCCACATTTTTAATGGGACAAAAATAGCATAGTATAATTGGGGTGGGGACATTTGGTTGGAATTTTTATCATAGAAACTAAGAATTGTAAAATAAAAAACATGAAAAATTATCTTAGATTTCACAAAATTAAATTAAAATAGCAATTACGCTCTAATTTTTAAATGAACAAAGTGTGAATTAAGTGTGGATTTTTTGGCATCATTTTTCTGACAAAATTGAATCATGGCATCATTTAACATCTCTCACTTCATACTGACTTTTGTAAAAGATTCAAAAGTTTTTCATTTATCCCAAGGTCCTTTCTTCATCCTTTGACATCCTGATCATTCACTTGGGAAGTAGCCACCATGCCACCGTCCTTATTGATTTTCTCTCTCCTGCTGTTAATAACTAATATGACTCTCTTAGGTCCTCAATTATGCACAATTTTGGGTGTGAATTCAAATTGTTCTCTAAACTCACTTTCATGGACTTCAAGAAATCCTGTACCTTTTGTAAGATTTCTAATTTTACTTTGTGATCCATTTCTATTGTATTTGTAGTACATGTTTATCATCTAGGACAATCTCTGATGTCCATAAGGTGGCGAGGGATTGATGGTAGTAATAACTTGAGAAGTTTAAGGGAAGACTCATATTAAGGTTCCTTAGTCACTATTGGTATGTCCCCTGTACAACTTGGTAACCCTGGGGTCTCTGATAACAAATTCTTAGCTAAAGAGAATCCTTAGAAGCTTTGGGGAACAGAATATTAACCCCTGCCTAAAGGAGAGGCAAGACAAATACACGAGTCATTTAGCCCAAGCAAGCCCAAAGAGACTCATTCATTCATTCATTCATTTTCCAAGATGGAGTATTGCTCTGTCAACCAGTCTGGGGTGCAATGGCTTGATCATGGCTCACTGCAACTTCCGCCTCCTGGGTTCAAGCAATTCTCCTACCTCAGTCTCCCGAGTAGCTGGGTAAATAGGCAAGCAACACCACGCCCAGCTAATTTTTGTATTTTTAGTAGAGATGGGGTTTCACCATGTTGGCCAGGCTGATCTTGAACTTCTGGCCTCAAATGATCTGCCTGCCTTTGCTTCCCAAAGTGCTGGGATTACAGGCATGAGCCCAGTGCCTGGCAAGCAGATCACCTGAGTTTAGGAGTTCTAGAATGGCCTGGCCAACACGGCGAAACCCTGTCTCTACTAAAAATACAAAAATTAGCCAGGCATGGTGATGCTTGCCTGTAATCCCAGCTACTCAGGAGGCTGAGACAGGAGAATCACTTGAACCCAGGAAATGGAGGTTGCAGTGAGCTAAGAGCACACCACCACACTCCAGCCTGGGAGACACAGCAAGACTCCATTTCAAAAAAAGTTTGTGTTTTAATTTTTAATTAAAAAAAAAATTTTAATAAAATTTCTTATCTCTAAACATTTTTCTACTGGAACATGTAGCTAGCCAATGCAAAGACTCTACTCTAGATAGAAGTGATGGAAGTGGGTAGAAATATTTTAGCCATATATTTGTCAAATTAATAAAGACACAGACACAAATACACATAAACTTATTTATTCATAGACTGTTAAAGCTGAAAAGGGCCTTCAGTGTCTAGTACAATGCTACCCGCAGTGTGGTGCCCATTCCATTGGTAATATTCTCAGCTGGTATTAGACAGCATATGAATGAGCTTTTAAAAATATTGTATAGTTATTACACATTTTCACCTGTGTTAGAAAAACCACACATACACATGAAATCTTGTGATTTCACAAATACTTGCAAAGAGACTATAGATGATGTTTTTAATTTAAAATGTGAGTCATATTAAAGGAAAAACATTAGTTCTATAGCACAGGTACCATATGATTCATAGGAATAGTAATAATTAGCACTTATGCAAACTTATCACATATCAGCCATTATTCTGTGGGCTTTTCTTACTTATTTTACTTATTTAATCCTCACAACAGTCTCTACTTTACAGATGAGGAAACTGAGGCACTTGCCAGTGGTCACATAGCTAGAATATGGAAGAGCCAAGATTAGAACTCAGGGAGTGTGAAGCCAGAGGCCATGGTTATAGCCTAAATGGTTATATACTAAAAATGTGTTATATAAGTAACTGGAGTTGGAGAAATACTGATATAGTCCACCTCCCTCCTACTCCTCCCTCTCTCTATTTTATGGATGACTAAACCGAACCTCCAAGAAGTTAAATAACATGCTCAAAGTCAACAGGAAGTTATTCAAAGAGCTATTACTAGAATCTGGCATACCCATGCTCAAATCTGGGGCTCCTACTACCCCACCACGGTGCCTCTGAGCAGACTCATTTCATTAGAACATTCGGTAGAGCTCAACACACAACATCAGGACTGGCCTCATGGGCATACAGCTGTGCACAGGGTCCCATGCTTGGTTTAATGCTCTGCTGCTGCCATCTTGAATTTTTAATAATTTCTGAACAAGAGGCCCCAGTGTTTTCATTTTGCATTGAAAACTCTATAGCCAGTTCTGCAGAATATTTATGGCTCCTGAAGCACCAAAGGCATTTTGCAAAAGCAGTCAGGTGGGAGGGGCCCTTACCTTTGGAGTCAAACAGCATCAACTTCAAATCACAGCTCCGCCCTCTTTTGTCTTGTGACTTTGGGAAATTACTTAACTTCTTTGGGCCTCAGTTTACTCATCTGTAAAAATCCAGATAATTCTATCAGCCTTGACCTGGTTACTCTTTAGGACTTAAATGAGAAAATGTTGGGAAAAGCAATAAGAAACATGTATTTAATGCCTTTCTTTTAAAAATCTAAAATGATTCATTGTCCACAAGTATGGACAGACTGGCTATCATATGCCAAAGCATGATGTGAGCCTTCAGCGACTCAGACTGCCCTTCCAGCTATCAGACAGAGAAAAACTCCCTGAGCGTCTTTTGTAATCTTGCTGAAGCACAAACTCCCTCCAGAAACTGCTACTCACTGACTCAGAAGAATGCCACCCTGCAGAGTGGGGCTGACCAGCCAGAGGGCATAGGTGTCTGCAGTTCAGCAAGCACCCAGTGATTCCAATATACAGCCTGCAAATCACATTTGGGAAGGACTGCTAGTATTTCTGGGCACCTGCTGCTAACTGCTTTAGTATCATGATTTTTGAAGGCAGCTATTTAACTTAGTTTCATCCAGAACAAAGATTCTCAACTCCAGCTGCACATCAGTATCACCCTGGGTTGCTTCTGAAACATTCTAAGCCCAGACTCTCTCAACAGAGATTTTCTGATTCAACTGGTCTGGTGGCCAAGTGTTGAGGAATTTTTCAAGTTCCCTAGGTAATTTTAATACGCAGCCAAGTTGACAATGATCTAGATCAATGGTCCTCAAAGTGTAACCCCAGACCAGCAGCATCAATGTCATCGGGGAACTAGTTAGAAATGTGATTTCGAGGCTGAGCGTGGTGGCTCATGCCTGTAATGCCAGCACTTTGGAAGACCAAGGCAGGTTGGATCAACTGAGGTCAAGAGTTCAAGACCAGCCTGGCCAACATGGTGAAACCCTACCTCTACTAAAAGTACAAAAGTTAGCCAGGCATGGTGGCAGGCGCCTGAAATCCCAGCTACTCAGGAGGCCGATGCAGGAGAATCTCTTGAACCTGGGAGGTTGAGGTTACAGTAAGCCAAGATCGTGCCACTGCACTCCAGCCTGGGCAACAGAGCAAGACTCCAGCTCAAAAAAAAAAAAAAAAAAAGGAAAAAGAAATGTGATTTCCAACTCCCTCCCAGGTCTACTGAGTCAGAATCTCTGAGAGCAGTTTAGGGTTTAACAAGCCCTCCAGCTGACTCAAATGCCTGTCACTGCTCTAAGGGGAGAAGAGGGGAGAAATTATCAGGCAGGGCAGATAAATTACAAAGACTTGTTTTGCAAAAACAATTTTTGCATATATAAACTGTATCCAACCCACAACCCTGAATTGGCTATAAAATCCTTAATGGTCTTATAACCCAAATATCTCACCTCTGAACTTCTGAGCCTCCAAGATATCAGATTTTTCTTAATCTCTCTATACATAGTGTAACTTTCCTGGGGAGAACAGTAGAGGAATTTTTAAATAGAGCTTCTTATGAAACTGAAGATTTACATGATTAGGCTGAGTCATAACTTGATAATCATCTTAGGTGCATTTTTTTTCCAAGCTTTTCTAAATGAATCTTAATTACGGCATTTTTGTAACAATGTTTTGCTAAGCTTTTGACCTTCAGAAGAGCACAACTCAGAGAGTAAAATGAGGCACAACCACAGCAAGATTATCCAGCACATTTCTTTTCCTTCAGACAAGAAAAGGAATACAAACAGCAAATGTGTATTAAACTCAAAAAAGTGAGCACAAAGCAGCCTTCATTTTCCTTTTAGCTGATGGAGTTTTGTGAAGAAAGCTCTAAAGAGGTTGGGCAGAATCTCAGGGAACGTGGAACTGGCAGGTGCTCAGTGAGAATCCTACATGCTGGTATTTTCCAACGCATCTCTCAGGCCTGCTGTTCCGTGTGGGTTTTTATGATAAAGCAATCGCCTGTTAGAGTAGCTTGCCCTGACCGTGGGAGTCGCCATGTTGTCATGCAGGAATTTTTTCAGTCTCTCTGAGGAAAACAAATTCTGGTCTATAGATTTAGAGGACAGGACTTGTGATACAGACAATGGACCTCATGAATCCTATCTCCAAACAGAAATGTTCCAAAGAGAAGACACACCTTATGGCCTATACCTGAGCAATTATCTGAAATCCAACTGGAAATTGACCTAGAGCAGCCATGTGATAAAGAGAAAAGGAGGGAAGGAAAAAGCAATGAGTTGGGACCTGATAACTAAACTCTTGATGACATGTGCCATAAATAAGCTTGAAATTCTCCTTGGAGGCAGAGGAAAAAACAACTGCCTCTTCCAACGTCAAATTCATGCTCAGATGAGCAAGAATAATCCTGAAGGCTAGGATGAGGATGGCTGCTGGGATTTCAAGGAGGGAGTGTGAAGGTAGAGTGTGGAGGGGGATCATGCAACCGTGAGGCTGTCTGCTGGCAGAGGTCCCCTGCGGGACATAGAAGGGGCAGAGCACTCACAGGGCTCTGCAACCAGTGGCAACTGAGACACTGGCTCTCCTGTGAACCCAATGAAGAGGGAAAGGGCACTTGCAGAGGTGCAGGGCACTGGAGCTGGCATGGGCAGCTTACCTGGAACAGAATTCAAGCCACAACAGGGGGGATGCTTGCCTTCTTTCCCTCAACATTATGTTTGTGAGATCCATGCCCACTGTTGCTTATAGTTTTCGTTTGTTCATTCTTGTTGCTATCTAGTCTCCCACTGTGTTAATATACCACAATTTATTGGTTCTAGTGTCCAGGGACATTTGGGTTGTTTCTAGTTTAAGGCTGTTACAAACAGAGCTGCTGTGAACTTTTTTTTTTTTTTTTTTTTTGAGAGTCTTTTTCTGTCACCCAGGCTGGAATGCAGTTGTGCAATCTCAGCTCACTGCAACCTCCACCTCCTGGGTTCAAGTGATTCTCCTGCCTCAGTCTCCTAAGTAGCTGGGATTACAAGCGGGCGTCACCACGCAAGGCTAATTTTTATATTTTTAGTAGAGATAGGGTTTCACCATATTACTCAGGCTTGTCTCGAACTCCCGACCTCATGATCTGCCTGCTTCAGCCTCCCAAAGTGTTGGGATTACAGGCGTGAGCCGCCGTGCCTGGCTGAACGTTCTTGTACATGTTTTTGGTGGACACATGGACACATATCTCTTGGGTTTCTGTTGAGTTAGAAATAGAATTGCTGGCTCCGACTACTAGGTTTTTCATATTCTTTAACAAGATTGCATTACTTCTCATGGCTGTTATATATCTCAAATAAAATAAGTGTCCCCAACTCCATTTTGCAGATGGGAAACGGAGACATAAAGTAGCATGACTTCTCATTAGATCAGCTGCAGCATCATGGAGAGAATCTCCCCACAACTTCATCCTAAGCCTGCTCTTCCTGGCCACGCCATATTAAACAAGCCCTGCTGTTATAGTCAACAGGCTCGTGGTGGTATTTTTTTAAATAATCAGCAATAGTGGGAGTTGGTGGGGATTAAGGTGGGTGGGAAGGATACCTTCTCATTACCATCCAATCTCCCTTTCTGCATTGGCAAATGTCTGTTTTGGAAAGTTGACCCCAGAGTAGTGAAAATAAAAAGTGCTCTGGGCATAACAAAGTGCCTTAGCTATCTGCAGTAGGCAGGGCTTCCTGCTGGAAAGTGCACCCTAGGAAGAGGCAGCTCCACCCAGCCTGAGGTCAGGTGGCCCTGAGCGTGGAGCCACATGGAGAGGACAGGGCGTTCCCAGGACTCAGGAGATCAGGGACCTGGTCTGCAACCTAAGTGTGTGCCCTTAGAGTTGGAAATATGCTATTATTGTTTGTGTTACCCAGTCTCTTCAGAGGTGAGTTTTTGTTCTAGGATTTCTCCTGTATGATCAAGACCCCCCTTTCACAGCCCTCTTACTTGTAGGTTTGGGGTCACTTGCTTAATTTGCACAGGATGGATAAGCATAGGTGGGTGAGCAGGTATATCAGCTGCTGATGCCAAGGTACCCTAGTATCTGAAGGCAAGTTTAGCATTTTTTTTTTTTTTTTTTTTTGAGATGGAGTCTTGCTCTTTCACCCAGGCTAGAGTGAGTGCAGTGGTGCAATCCCGGCTCACTGCACCCTCCGACTCCTGGGTTCAAGCCTACTGAGTAGCTGGCCTTACAGGCACGTGCCACCACACCCAGCTAATTTTTATATTTGCAGTACAGATGGGGTTTCTCCATGTTGATCAGGCTCGTCTCAAACTCCTGACCTCGTGATCTACCCACCTCAGCCTCCCAAAGGCTTAGCATTTTTAAACCTCCCCTGGAGGCACCTAAGTGGGACAGGAATAGCCCTCAGGTTAGAGTTAAGAGATATGAGTCCCAGTGCTATTTGAATCACTGATTTATCATGCAGTTCTTAACTTCCCTGGGATGATGGATGAGAAAGTGATTTTTTTTAAAAATAAAGTACGTTACGACCACAAAGTGTTTAATATCACAGAGAAAGCCCATTCCATTGCTCAAGGCATGATTCTTCATCTTGTCTAGCCTGAACTTCTCATAGGCACGTTTTCCACAGGGAACTTCTGTCTAGCAAAGAAGCCAAAGCCTCCCTTTGAATATTTCCCTTCACTGCAAACAGACTTTCACAGGACTAACCACCATTACCTTTGACCAGGGCAGGCATGCAGCTCACATGCCCCAATCCAACCATGTCTGTTGTTAAAATATTGAAACACTTTCTTTTTTTTTTTAAAGAGATGGAGTCTTACTCTGTCACTCAGGCTGGAGTGCAATGGCGTGATATCGGCTCACTGCAACCTCTGCCTCCTGGGTAGCTGGGATCACAGGTGCCTACTGCCACTACTGGCTAATTTTTGTTTTTTTTAGTAGAAATGGGGTTTCGCCATGTTGGCCAGGCTGGTCTCAAACTCCTGACCTCAGGTGATCCACCTGCCTCGGCCACCCAAAGTCCTGGAATTACAGGTGTGAGCCACCACACCCAGCCAGAATATTGAAACATTGCTAACTAGTCACTTTCCTACCCACACCAGGCACCCTCACCATGACCCATCAACTAAAGAAATAATAATTCCA